GATGTACAGTGAAATTTAGGCTGGGGACTTGGTTTGATCCAGCAGTTGTTGAATGAACTGACTGTGAGCTTGACAACAAATTTTAAGAAAACGGTGGGTTTAAGTAGACTTTGATGACTGTTGAAGTCCAGCATACGTCACTTGGGCGAATTCTGCCGTTTCACAGGAAAAGGTACATTTAGTCGGGAGAACAAGTATTTGATACACTGCCAATTTTGCAGGTTTTCCCATTTACAAAGCATGTAGAAGTCTGTCATTTTTATCATAGGTACTCTTCAACGGTGAGTGACGGAATCTAAAAAATCCAGAAAATCACGTTGTATGATTTTTAAGTACTTCCTTTGCATTTAAATGAAAGAATCCATCAAAATAAGATAATTAAGATGCATAAAGTAAATTTTCATTTTGTGCCGACTATAAAAGGAAAACAAGAGTGACTCTCTGAAGGGCCATTGATTTTTTTTATATCAACTTTTAATAACAAACCCCTTAAACAAAAACAATTTTGTAAACAGAACCAAAAACCACATATCTATGACTGGTATGACAATGTGTTTAGTTATTTTTCAGTGTGGATGGAATGGATAAAAAGTCTGCTGTTGGTAAACACATCTGATTTTGTAGCTTTAGCATACAGCGGTGGTGGCTGATGTCATAAGTGCTTCAGTTCTTCCTTTTGCCCTTGCTGGTGAGTTTGGCAGGGGCTGGAGCAGGTGCTGCCTGGTAAAGAGCTGCTGACACTTTGTTGATGTAGTACAGTGCGATGACAGAGAAGATCAGGCTATATTGGAGAGAACAGAGAAAGAAAGAACAAATTAACAGTGTTGAATGAGGTATATTTGACCAATTTGACAGGTAGCCTACAAAATTCAAGTGGGTTGTCAACAATTTTTAGCCTGACTTCGTCATACTCATATTCTAGTGAGAATAGGAGTCTGAAACTGCTTCATTGGGCTTTGATTATGAGGTGTGTCTTAATCGAACCAGGAAAAAAAAAAACTCTGCACTCAACTGGATAGTCGGTAGACCTACAACCAATCAGAGCAATGCAGTAAGTCAACTACTTTGCATATCACAGTTGTCAACAGAACTTACTTATTTTAGAAGTAAAATAACGAGTGTTGCTTCTTTTACTTGATCCTCCATGAGTGCGACCAAAGGAGAAACCACAACGACCAGAGGCTTTTCGTCCCATCTTCTTAGCGACCATCAGAGCCAGCTGATAAGTTACACTTTTGCCGAATCATGTAGGATGGACGGCAAAGATATCTTTCCGATCGACAAATGCCTTGATTGCAGTTTTCTGTTTGTCTATTAAAATTAATGCGCTGTCGATTCATTTTAAAAACAGACGCGGCAGCGTAATCTATACATCTCAATTCTCCAGCTGCAGTCATCTCTGAGGGAAACCAGTTAAGCGCTAACCAATGCCAACACTGTTTGTGTATAGTAGCCAGTTAGTTTGATGCTATTTTGTGTAAGACAAACGTGTATAAATTTCAAAAAGTTATAGGCTATGTCATCGCAGCAAACTTCAGCTGCAGTTATCAGTGTACAGGATAGTTTTAACACAGTTGCCACATGTAGACTACACCTAAATAAAACGATACACTGAGTAAACTATGTTTTGTGAATAGATAAACGTTTGTTCATTAAATCGATAAAACAATAACTTTAAAAAACATTTATCAGTTATATTAACTGTTTAATCAGGAGAAAACAGTATCTCAAAAGCTAACAAGCAGCAGTAGCATTTTCAAATAACAACATATCGAAATTCTTATAATAATAGTAGAATAGAATAGAATAATAATAAATGTTAAAAAAAATGTATCATTCAGAAACATCAGAGCCGTGTGTGGTGAGGTTCTGCTTGACTCTCTTCATCGCCGCTTTCTGGGTCTGATTCTGGCTCAAACTGATACTGCAGTATCGACAAAATTATTTACATTGACCAGAGCACATGAAACATTCACCCGTAAAGGTAATGGGCGTGAAGTTTCCGGACAACGTGCACTAAGCAGTTTAGCCAATCACAACACACCAGCCCAAACTAACCAATCTGAGCCCATTATCTGTTTCTGAGGGAGTGGTTTCATAGAATCAGGATGTAAACCGGTCGTTCAAATGACAGAGGAGAAAGCGGCTTACAGTAAAGGTGATGTTTATGAAAAATGTTTATGACTTTAAAAAAAAAAAAAACAATCACACGAATACATGTGATATTGCACCCCATAAACACAATGCAAAGAAAAAAAAGCAGTAAACCACCCCTTTAAGTACTTATACAATGAACTTATTTTCAAATTATGCAGAAATTATATAAAGAAAATTATATAATTATATAAATATATATTAAATTATATAAAACTTATTTCATAATTACACGAAATAATAATACAAGAAAATTTTCATAATCATCAAGAACATAGTGCAACATTATCCAAAACAACAGATCAAACATCATAATATATGATTAATATTTATGAGGAATAAACCCAGCAAAAGAGAAAAAGAAAACCAAAGGACAGAAAATCAAAATCATTTAAATGTTTTTAAAAGTAACTCACCACGTTGTCACGCACACACGATGCACCAAACCAGACGCAAACAGAGAGAGGAACAGGCACACGAGAACTAAGAGAACAGAGATGAAATATTTTTCAGTTAAGTGCATATTTTAAATCTTCATTAAAAGCATTCAGATTTTAATTCAATCTGATTACATTTGTCTATCAAAATGTAATTGTACATTATTAAAATGGCATTATTAAAATCTTCTGGTTAAATATACACCGACTGCTGTAAGCAATGATTTCGTTTTTTTTATTTCTTTTAATTTTTTGATCGTAAAAGTAGCAATATTGTGAAACATTATTACAGTTTCAAAACAACTGTTTTGTTAGTTTAGTAAGTATATTTTAGAAATATACATTTAAGTAATTTAAAGTCTTTACTGTCACTTTGAAATATTTTAATGCATCCTTGCTGAAAAAAAAAAAAAAACACTTTTTATTTTTAATGGTAGTGTAAGTGTTTCTTCATTCATTTGAACTTTCTGCAAGTGAGGAGGATACACCAGACAATAGCAGTATTTAACATAAGGTAAAGTCATTCACTTACTCTCTGGGAAGATTTTGGCTTGGAAGCCTTTCCCGAAGACAAGGTTCTCCAGGTTATTGAAAGCCTGTAATTGCAGGTTAAGAACTACACCGAAAACAGATAAGTCAAACTGAGCAAAAACGTAATATTAAGCCTCAAGGTTAGACAAACTACTACTGTATGCATGTCAAAGCAACAGAAGGATACTGTAAGAGAGCAGACAAACAGCACAGACCCCAGGAAGCCCCCCAGGATGGTCAGCCACTCTGAAGAGCCCAGCTGCCGACTGAACATCTGCATTCCTGCAAACACCAGAACGGACAGCAGACTGGACAACACCAGGGAAGTACTTGTGTTCACCGCTGGAGGGAGCGAGAGGGAGAGAGGGAGAGAGAAATAGATAGATAGAGGGAGAGATAGATAGAGAGATAGAGATAGAGAGAGAGAGAGAGAGAGAGAGAGAGAGAGAGAGAGAGAGAGAGAGAGATTTGAATTTCAAAATCCATTTATTACAAAAATTAAAACATTATCCAGTAAATTAACACACTGTTCAAATAAAATCTGAACAGACAATAGAAAATTATCTTAAGAGGGATGCAAAATGCAGGTTGTCATCAATAATCTCACACAAAGCCCCCTTTTTGCACCAAATCTGATCAAAACAAACAATATCATTCATGGCTTTAAAATATCGAAAATTATTAACTAATATTACTTAAAGCTTTATAATAATTAAAATAAAGCTGTCGAATTTGAATTGAATACATTAAGAAATAATTAAGAAAATGTACGCGTAACAGTTCTAGACAGATTAACGTTAGTCTATTTGGTTCCGCGACGGGCTAGTGTTCACTACGGAATCATTAATTTGGGAACGAGGGAAGAATCAGAAAAATACACTTTTGGTCATCTATTGATTTACAGACAAGAAACGTTAAGTTACGCAGACAAAGGCAAAAAAAAGCATAAACGTAAAGGGAAAAGCGTACTATGAATCTATTATGAAGCAGGTAAATGTGCAAGAATTTGGACACGTCAGTGTAACTTACGCTCTTTAAAACGTTCCGTGTGGAAACAATCAGAGAGGCTGCAATTTTCATAAACTGTTTTGCTTTTTTAAAAACAGTAAGCGCACACTGAATTAAGTTATTATTACTATTAATATTATTAGTATTTTCTAATAATACAATACCAATAACAATTGAAAACGTATGATATGTTTAGCAATTGTTAGCGGTGAGCTAACACCATTCATACTGTACATTTCTTCTTTTGGTTTTTTCGAAACACAAAGGGTCGAAAAGAAACCCCAATTCAACTTATTGTTCATGTTCACAAAGCGATTTAAATGAGAAACTGCAGCAAGTTCCAATTTGTTTCCCTATTTGTTCCCATTTAAAGGCTAAAAACTTTTAACTAGCCCACCCGTGTACTATCTGTCCCTTTTTATGTTCATATGCGTGCAAAATAATAGCTCAAATTTCAACGTTTGATATAGTTAATGTAAAAGCTAAGCTCACCCATGTCGGACAGCAATAAGGTAAAGAGACAGGTTTAATTCTCTTGTTCAGTCTCGGGCAGCAGAGCAAAGATGACGCGCTTCTAACGTCTAAAACCTGTGCCAAGTGTAAATTCCCCTGCACTACTACCCTACAGCTCCATCTAGTGGACAGAAGAGTGCAGCACATTCACTGCCACATTCTATTCTATTCTATTCTATTCTATTCTATTCTATTCTATTCTATTCTATTCTATTCTATTACATTACATTCTATTACATTATATCCATATATTATATCCATATATGTATACCAAAGACTGTAATAGCCTACCCATAGACATCATCAATGGTAAAACCATCCAAGCGGCTCTCATGCATGCTCAGCTCAGCATCCATGCGCATGCTCTTCACTGATCTCACCCTAAACACCTCATAACATCCATCGGATGGCACAACATCCGTCAGAATAGACCTCAGCAAACACTGTTGGAGCCCCCCTAAATCAACATGGATTACGTTAAATTGGACCTCTCTTAGACACAAACATCATTACAACGTAACTTAAAGGTTTAACAGCCGTCAATTTCAGCTGCATGCTCAACCATTTTGTTTTATTCCGCGGACTCCTCATCTTATAAACAGTTAGTTGTTTAAACGATTCTCTAGCCCTATGTGGAAAAAGCGCTCAATAATAGCGTTTTTTTTCATTTGCTATTAATATAACAATCGGCATAGTTCAGCAATGGCAGATGCGGAGTTGCAAACCTTTACATCCATTATGGACGCCCTCGTGCGCATAAGCGTAAGTACATTTGCATTATTAAAACCACATTACACGTTTTCTGTCATTTACACGCGGCTGTTATTTAACCCACGAATGTGAGCATTTGAGTGTTATCCATGCCCAAATCTAGCATAAAAAAACACCAAATTATTTAGAGCACATTATTTGCTAGATTATGAATAACACCTGTAAGCAGAAACCGAGTATATTTTTCATCCTGTTCTGCTAAAGCGCGTGTAGGCCTCGGCTACGTTTCCTCTTTTATGGATGATTTATTTGCAGTTGCCTACAATATCAGAATATGTAACGTTATATTCCCTTTAATACACGATTGAACAGACTGACGCATTCGGTCTACATTAGAATCATGATTGATGCAGAGCAGACGTGGTGCAACATGTTCATTGATCAAATTGTTTGAGAAGAGGTAAAGGAAACAGAAAGTAGCCTTTAAAATCTAGGCTATAAGAAGCGGATAAGGCCCTATCGCTGAGCTGCTGTCGCGCGGATGCATGTTGCCATAGATACGGGATGCAAGAGGGTTGAGGTCGCGAGCTATGGGAAACGTCTGGAAAAAACTAGAGTCAGTGTATAAAAGAGGAACAGAAGACAGCTAGGAGAATTTAATTATTTCAATGGCTTATTGGCAAATAAAATGTATATGCTGTCAGCTCTGGGGAAAATAATGGCTAGATACTGAACATAAAACAGCTAAAAATAGCATAAATTGATTTGGTCAGGCTTTTAGATCATCCTGCTAAACCAGCCAAACCAGCTGAGCACATGCCTGACTGGGACAGCTGTAAAGGTCAGCATTTTCTTTTTCAGTAAGGGAACCTTTTTAAAAATATATATTATTAAATGATGGAGATTAATGGAGAGCAAACAATGCATTTTTTGTAGCAGCCTGGTTCTAGAAATATTTTTCCCCATTTATTTTTCCCATAGAGATTTAACAAAATAAAAGTGTTTTTTTAAGAGTTAGAAGCCATGGACCATACTGGTCACAAGCTGAATAACAACATTACAAAGTTTAATGTTAATCAAACATTATTTTTTTTATTAATTATTTAAAGAATATGTTGAAATAATATGGACTAACCGGTTTGTCAAAAGCATATCGATTAACAACCTCAGAGCTCACAGTATATCTATCTTTAAAGATGTATAAGTTGTCCTTTAAAAATAATTTCCCTGTGGATTTTTACTTCTGAAAACCGACATAAATTTAGATTCCAGTGGAGTATGATCAAATACAAAAAAAAGTGATTAAAATGTTAATTCCTTATGGCAGAAATGTAACTTGGTTGGCAGGAATTGAATTGTACAAGATGTGTGTGAACATAGTCTGTTATACAATAGCCAACATCAAGTTTTTCGAGGTTTTCAAGTTTTTTGAGGGATGATTTTCTTGTACTTTCCAGCCAAGTTAAACGTCCGAGTTGCACTCCTTTTGGGAATACCAAAGATGACTGACACATTTGAACAGATTTGTAACACAGAAACAAGTTTAACTCGTAAATCTCAATTGTCAAAATGTAGCTACTACCAGTCAGCTGCCTACATTTTAATTCAGTATCTATTATCAGTCATTTGTGTGAATACATAGCAGACTTCATGATTTGAATGTTGCATAAAAGTATTTCCATAACTGGGGAAATTTGTTAGCAAAATTAGAACGAAAGATTTATACACCTTTAATAAACAACATGACTGTTTGTGTGTGTGTGTTGTTTTTGGCATTTACATAATTATCCTGATGCAAATATTCAGACTTGTATGACACGTTCATACTGACCAACCTATGCACATAATGTCAACCTAAGAAAAAACTCAGTCCACAGCACAATCCATAATCAATTTCAGTCATTGAAATAAAAAATAAATTAAAAAACACTCAAATACACTGAATAAAAAAAAAATGGTGTAAAAATTTCTGGTAAATTTCACAAATTGTATTTTCCTGTGAAATCCACTCTAATAATCTTTTTTTTTTTTGCAATTTTGAAAAATCGATATTTTTCAGTGTGTATAGGCTAAAACAAAAATAAAGCCTACAGTGTTGCTTCAAAAACATGAAATGCACATGGAACATCAGGAATGAGGTTTATTATATTATATTACATTATATTATATTAAAGCTTTTACCTCTGAAACAGGATATATGGTTATGATCTTTCTATATCAACATAATCTATGGATCTGTTGTTTTGTTGCATGTCTGATTGTGTGTTTTCCTCTGGTAAATATTGTTAAAACTGTCCCTTTCTCTGTCTAGTCTAATATGAAGAGTATAGAGAGAGAGCTGCACTGTCCCGTGTGTGAGGAGATGGTGAAGCAGCCGATAGTGTTGCCATGTATGCACAGCGTGTGTGTGCTGTGTGCGGCAGAAGTCTTGGTTCAGAGAGGATACCCGCCCCCCGAGCTCCCCCCAGAGCCCAACACACCGACCTCAAGCCCCAACACACGCTCTCCCCGACAGACACGCAGACCTCCACCCAAAACGGACCGCCTAGACCGGGTGATCAGAACAGGTTTGTGTGTTCCTTAATAGACAGCGAGATCAAAATCTACGAAATCAACTTGCACAGACATATCTGAAAATATGTCTGTGCCATTGTTTTGCCTCAAGATGCACACCAGTAATATGTTTTTTTCTAAAGCATGTGCATAAAAGCTAAATGTCTTGATTGAACTAAAGACTAATCCTGGCTTAATCTAAACCGTCTGTGAAACCAGGCCCAGATTAAATAACATTTAAAACGATGACATTGTGATGTGACTTTAGCATAGTTTCACTAGTTTTTCTCCGTGCAAAAAGTTTATATATGCTTCTGTATCGTTCAGATCTATTGCGTCTATGCAGGACTTTGCAGGTGCGTGTGTGTTTAAATGTAGCAGCCGTTGTGATGGACTGATTCTGAATGTGTCAGCACCCACAGGACCTGGATTCTGTTCTCCTTCTGCATTGATTAGCTTTTCCTTTCTTCTTCCTGCCTTAGATTTATAGTGGCTTAAAGAAGCTTTAATGTGGAAACAGCTTTTTCTATCTGCATCTCTCCCCATTTTTGTGCAGTGTGTGGAACACATCCAGGACGGAGGCGTAAAGACACCCCTCCCGTGATCATGCTGTTCCCCTGTCCCACCTGCGGAAAAGATGTGGAGCTGGGAGAGAGAGGGCTTGCAGATTGTCTGAGAAACCTCACACTGGAGCGGATAGTGGAGAGGTCTTTCACACACACACATATTCTGAGAATTTTGAAATTAAATTCTAGTAACTGTACTGTAATGTTGCTCTACTGGTTTTTAACAATACATCAGATGTTCTGAACTGGCGTCTATTCTTATACACATCACTGGTTGAATATTCTCACGCAGTCTCAGTACGTGGACCAATCAAATCACCTTACTTGGATAGCAAAATGAGGTCAAGAAAAGGCGGAGACAGAAAATATTTACTTACTTCCTTCCAGAAAACAGCTTGCTTGACTCCATTCCATATAGTAAAAATGTGCACAAGCAAATCTGGCCCTAAAAACATCACAAGACTCGATTAAAACTTAGGACTTAGGAAATATAGGACTCAAAATGAACAAATGTGTGTCAAAACCTAAATGACTTTCTCACAAATGGAGAAGAATGGTCTAGCCACTCTTAACCATATAATGAAAGTGAATTAAGGATGTTGAGCATGCATATTACAAGGATATTGGCTGTTTATTACTTACAAAGCACATATTCATGCCTTATTCTATATGACCATATTCTACATCCCTTAATCCTTCCCAATACCTAAACTTAACTACCTTACTAACTATTAATAAGCAGTAATTAGGAGTGTATTGAGGCAAAAGTCCTAGTTAATAGTTAGTTAATAGTGAGAATTGGACCCTAATCTAAAGTTTGACCATGAATTTATGCAATGTCCCCACTATTTAACTAAAATGAGTGAGCTAAATAGTACAACATGGAAACAAATTCTTGAATTTACAAATTCTTGAAAAGAAACAATTTTCTTTTTTTGACATTTTTCCTTCCGCATGTTGTGTGCAGAGCTCCTTACGTGGCTGTGTGGCACAATGTAAAAAAAAAAAAAAAAAAACACACACATTAAAAGACATTTAAAATATACAGTATATGTTAAATCATATACTATATATGTATATATATATATATATATATATATAAACAAGAAGATAAAAAATAGGAGAACGGCGTGAGGCCTGTGACGTGATTGCTGATGAGCATGTCTCGTATCTCTCATGGTCGTGCGGAAGCATAAAAGGAGGAGCGACGACAGTGAAGATCGAGAGAGGACCAGGCCTGGACTGTTTTATTTTACAATCATGCCTCATCCTGTTCGCCTGCATACATGTAACCCAAGCCTTTCTCCATGTGTGTAGGTACAGGCGGACAGTAAGTCTTGGCAGCATGGCAGTCATGTGCCAGTTCTGTAAACCTCCTCAGGCTCTTGATGCCACCAAAGGCTGCGCTGACTGCAGGTCCAACTTCTGTAATGAGTGCTTTAAACTGTACCACCCCTGGGGCACACCACGAGCCCAACACGAACACATCATGCCCACACACAGCTTCAGACCCAAGGTAAGCGACACACGGGACCCTTCAGAGAGAGGACCACCGCAAACACAAAGAACGGACAAACACTGAGTCAAACATTTAACTCCAGGTCAGACTGTGTTTACATCCAGGGTCCAAAATGTATATATATATATATATTTATATCTGCATAAAATTAATACATGATGTTAGTTAACTGTGCGATTTGTATTATCTGAACTGTACATTTCTGAAATATGGACATTCATTGGACACGTCACTGAAGACTGGAGTAATGATGCTGAAAATTCAGCTTTGACATCATAGGAATAAATTACATTAAAATAAAAAATATACTAAATGAAACAATATTAAAATAAATAAATAAAACACGTTTTTTATTATTAGAAACAAAACATCAATATTTTTTATTATTAATATTTATGTAGAACATATATTTTTGTCCATTATATAGGCCTAGTTTGTCTCAAAAACTTGAAGACGCACAAGTTTGTTTTGACATAAATGTGCACTAAATAGCACAACATACTGAATAACGTATTGTCCTTCAGTTTGGATCAGGATTAATCAACCACATGCAAATAATATTCAAATATTGTCCTTTTCCACAGCAGTCGACAGAGGATTTTTGATAAACAAACGACAAAAGTCTCAAAAGTTCCCCTTAATCTAATTTCCTCCTTCTGGCCTTTTCCTTTGTCCATTTATCTTCTCTCTCTCTTTCACTCACTTGCAGGTATTAGTTTGTGTGGAACATGAGCAGGAGAGGTTGCAGTTTTACTGCAGGTCATGTCAGCATCTGTTGTGTCCGCTTTGTAAACTCCGTCGGGCCCACAGTGGACACAAGATCATTCCTATTGCGTTGGCTTACCAAACTCTAAAGGTATCCATTCCTTGTATGCTCTATAGAGCTTAATCTTTAGACTATATACAACATAATAATGCCCAACATGCCCTTCTTTCCTGTATAAAATGGTTATTTGGGCTAATCTTTCTAAGCTACAGCCCTCTAGGTGATCAAGGGTAGAGGGGAAAGGATTTCCTCAATGACTAGGCAGCCAGCAGAAGCTCTACAGTGTTGTTGGTACTCATCTTTCTCCATGTTGTGAAATCACAGGAGAAGATCACCAAGGAAATGAACTACATCTTGGGCAATCAGGATTCTATACAGGCACAGATCACCCAAGTAGAAAGCGGCATTGCTCAGACTGAGGTACACAGCATTGGTGTTTATGAGACAAATACTTCACCCTAGAGTATAGACCATTTCACAAGATGTAAACAACACTGGTCCAGAAACACTTCCTGTTTCAGTTTGTAACTGTTTTCTTTATTTCACATGTAAAGAAAACATCTTAGATGTTTGTTTAACTTTTTGATTCAGTTTGAAATGTTCTGTTGGTTGTATTTTATCCCAGCTTTTATGTAGTGTTAAAAAACTGAAACAGGAAGTGCTTCTGGACCAGTGTTGTTTACATCTTGTGAAATGGTCTATATGAATGGTGTGAAAACGGAGGGAGAATGAAGTTGCAGGTTTTTTTGCAGTCAGAATAAAAAAAGATGGAAATTGCGAAATATTAATGAATATCATAATAACTGAAAAATGCATTTGTGAAATATAAAGAAAATATATATGTAAAATTGTATATTAAGTTCAAATTAAATTGGTATTATTTATATGAATACTTGACGTACTACATTTGCTATGTGGTCAGTATCATGTGACCTACCAGCGTCAGGTATGTTGCTTCACTGCGATGTAATCCTTTCCCATGGCCTCATGGGATAGTAAAGTGCCCACCGTATGCACACTTAAAGGGTTAGTTCACCCAAAAATGAAAATTAAGTCATTAATTACTCACCCCCATGCTGTTCCAACCCCGTAAGACCTTCGTTCATCTTCGGAACACAAATAAAGATATTTTTGATTGAATCTGAGAGCTGGATCAGTCCTACATAGAATGCCTAAGGGACTGGCTCTTGACGGCTCATAAAGTCATTAAAGAAAAGGTTTAAATATTCCATGTCTCACAGCGGCTCAATTATAAGTTTATCAAGCGACGAGACTACTTTTTGTGCGAAAAAAACATAAATAACGACTTTATTCGACTATTCCATTACTTCCTTATGGGCGCATGCGCGAGAACTGAGACGAGGACGTTCTCATTCGTCTACTTCTTGTTACCGGCTGCTCACTGCTTAGGAGTTTTACCGCCACCTACCGTATAAAATGATGATCCATATATAAGGCGCTCCGGATTATAAGGAACACTGTCGTTTTTTGAGAAGATTAAAGGCTTTTAAGTGCACCTTATAGTGCGGAAAATACGCTAATTGAAAAGCGTATGTACAGCGCGCATCTTCCTCTGCTTGTAAACAGAAAGTTTTGCGCTTCCAGCTATATCAGCACATCATCTTATACGGTAGGGGGCGGTAAGACTCCTAAGCGGTGAGCAGCCGGTAACAAGAAGTAGACGAATGAGAACGTCCTCGTCTCAGTTCTCGCGCATGCGCCCATAAGGGAGTAATGGAATAGTGGAATAAAGTCGTTATTTATGTTTTTTTCGCACAAAAAGTAGTCTCGTCGCTTGATAAACTTATAATTGAGCCGCTGTAGGCACATGGAATATTTCAACCTTTTCTTTAATGACTTTATGGGCCGTCAAGAGCCAGTCCCTTAGGAAGTCTATGTAGGACTGATCCAGCTCTCAGATTCAATCAAAAATATCTTTATTTGTGTTCCGAAGATGAACGAAGGTCTTACGGGGTTGGAACAGCATGGGGGTGAGTAATTAATGACTTGATTTTCATTTTTGGGTGAACTAACCCTTTAAGAATCCCGCAGGAAGTAGTAGGTCATCCGGGTGCTTTTTGCCTACTCTTTTATGAGTACAGTGAATTCAGAAATAATATTTTATATGTGGAAATTAAATCTAAAGATGGATAATATTTCACTGTCTCTCCAGGAGTATACTGTGTTTTTTCAGTGGTGTTATAGTGTACATTTATTTGTGAAACATAATGATGATGATTAATTGTGATGGTGGGGGATGATCAAGATTAAGTGTGAAAAATAAGAAGAGGTATAAAATATTTAAATTTAATTGACAATCATTAATTAAATAATAATCAGTATTTTAAAAAATGATCAATTTAAACATTTTAATATAAAATAAATATTGGCATTTAAAACGTATATATTTATGATGTTTTAAAATATTTGTCAAGCTTTGCTCTTCCCTTTTTCTGTCCTGCTCAATCTCTTTACCTCTGTGCTCAGGTGAACAGCGTGGTGGCTAAGGAGCAGTTGACCCAGTGTGTGAGTGAGTTGCGTGGTGTGCTGGCGGAGCGTCAGGGGGCTTTGGCCATGTTGATGGAGGGGGCTCGTGCGCAGCGGGCAGGGGCTCTGAATGCACAACTCTTAGAAAAACAGAGTCTTTTGGAACATGCAGGACTGCTCACATACACTCAGGAGCTTCTTAAGGAAACCGACCAGCCGTGCTTCGTGCAGGCCGCCAGAGTCACACACAACAGGTTAGACTGTGTTCGAGGGTGTTTGTTGCTGGGATTGCGTGAATCTGTTCATTTATGAAATACGAAACCCACAATAGCCTATTGTGTGTTTCCATTAAAGGCACACAAACATTGGAAGATTATGTTACACATAGTCAATTGTTTTACAGATAGGTTCTTTATATTCATTAAAGTGTTACTTGATTTTTTTAATCTTTCTTCTCCTCAGACTGGTAAAAGCAATAGAACATCTTCAGCATTTCTCTCTAGCTGCTGATCCCTCGTTTCGACACTTTCAAATAGACGTCTCCAGAGAACTCGCAGCACTCAGCAGCATGGACTTTATTCAAGGTTTTCATAAAAACTCAGTTTTCAAAATCCGTAAATACCGTGAGTTGGTTTTCTAGGTTAACAAGGTAACAATTTGAATTCTCATCTTACTCGACCCCTCATTTTCCTTCTGCAGCCCCATTGGCTCCTGTGATTGACACTCAAAAGACCCTGGCCTATAACGAGCTCTATTTGTGCTGGCGCCTCCCACAGGACTCCGCCCCCGCCTGGCACTACTCAGTGGAGTATCAGAGGAAAGTGGGCGGAGCTGGAGCATTATGGGGCAGAGTCTGGTCTGACGGAAGCTCAGGAAGTAATGGCACACACTGTCCTTGGCAGCGTCTTGATGATGTGGGCGGGACCAGTGCAGTGGTTGACAAGCTAGAGATGGACAGTGTGTATGTCCTGAGAGTTCGTGGCTGTAATAAGGCAGGGTTTGGAGAGTACAGTGAGGAGGTGTATCTACACACACCTCCTGCACCAGGTAAGACACATCCACTCACAAAAATACAAACGCACTTGCATTTGAACCACTTCAAAATATCAGTTATTCAGAGACATTCGTCAACTTCCCAGTTTTTCACATATTGGATGTTTCCTTGTTTAGCATCTTTTCCAGTCATTCCACTTCGTTGACTTGGAATTTACATCCTCTATTCCTATATTTATTCATCCATTTATTAATTCTTCCAAATATTAATTCTTTTTTGTTTGTCTAGCTATTGAATTATTCAATAATTGACTGATTGATTCATTTATATCAATTCATCCACCCTCCATCCATCCATTTATTCACTGATTCATGCCTGTTTGTTCATGTTTTTTCACTTGTCCATCCATCTGTATCAGTTATTACCTATCATTCATTGATCCATTCATACCACAGTTCTATTACATCAAACTGAACCTGTTCTTGTTTTGTGGTATTTTATACATATCATATTCTCTTTTTTGCTTTCTCTCATAGTTAATTCTGTTGCTTATCACTAGTATATTTCTCAGTGCTTATCCACAACTCTTTGACACATTTGTTTTTTTGTTGCTCTTCTCTCTGTATTATTTCTCCGTGTGCTTCCTGTTATTCTCCACCTTCCTTTGTTCCTATTATCTCTGCTGTTTCTTTGACTTGTATTCCTATTTAACTGGAATATCAGCTGCTCAATCTCCTCTGAATCCTAGAGTCCTGGAATATGTACAATGTTCCTGCTGTCCTCTTTCTTTCCCCTCTTTTCTCCAATTTTCCTATCCCATTTCTTCCCTTTTATGCTTATTCATACATCCCCCCCTTCTCTGCTTCTTTCTATCTTCTATTTATATGTTGTTTCACTCCCTCATCCTCTTCTCGCTTTTGTGTTCTGCCCTAACCCTATGACCTGACCTTTCCAACCCTATCCTCCACTCCTCTCCTCCTGAATACCACAATCTCAGTGTTGTCGTTCTGCCTGGATTCGCGCTGGGGCCTGCATGCGGAGCGGGTGGCATTGGGGAAAGGGCAGACGTATGCCCGGAGTGTTCCCGGGATGACCCTGTTGCAGGCAGCTGATCGGGCCCTTACCTCGTGTCACCTCACCTCTGACCTCCTTGTGGCCGACATTTCTATCACACAGGGACGACACTACTGGGCATGCTCAGTGGAGCCTGGATCCTACCTGGTTAAGGTGAACATACACTACCATTCAGCAGTTTGCAGTCAGTACGATTTTTATTTTCTAAGAAATTAATACTTTTAATTCAGCAAGGATGCATTAAAATGATCAAAAGTGGTATTAAAAACATGTATAAAGTTACAAAACATAGCATAGCCTACAATAAAAGATGATGAATTTCAAACCTGAACCAATCATATTGAAGATCAACATTACAACATTAGTCTTTAGTCTGCCACAAATAAACAACAACAACATTCAAATCTCATTGTGAACTCAAATGTCATTGTGAAAAAAATAAATTACTGTTGTAACAGTTTGTAAATCAGACCTTTCAGGCTATTGCCTAATGCTAATAAGCCTTATGCCAAAATTATTATTACAACTAAATTGTAGGTCATTAAATAGAAAAATTAAATGTGTGTAGATCTGTTTTGTGTAACCCGACATCAGACATTAGGCCCGGCCGAAGTATTTTTTTGCATGCAGTGCAACTTGCGAGGGCTGGCTGCAGGACGACTCAACCTCCATGGACAGCTTTTAATGTTTTATAACTACTCAAGATTTTTCTTTAGCATAATTTTCGGGACAATTAGGGCCAGATTCGGGACAACAGCTTAGATTTCGGGACTGTACTCAATTTTTCGGGACGTCTGGTCACCCTAGATACAAGATATCCACCCGACAGCGACAATATATATAAAGTTTTTTAAAAAACTTTAAAATGTCTAAAAGGTTATTTCACCAAAAAAAAAAAAAAAAAGAAAAGAAAATTATCCCATAATTTACTCACCTTCAAACTATCCTAGGTGTATATGAAAAATATCCATATCCATCACTAGCCTCCATTAATGGCCGTACACGAGTCAAATTCTGGGGGAATAGTGAAGAAAGTAATGTACACCCAGATGGCTTGAGGGTGAGGACAATTTTTCTTTTTGGATAAACTAACCCTTTAAAGGATGTCTATGTGTGTAGGTGGGAGTGGGTGTTGAAGCAAAACTGCAGGAGTGGTTCCATCTTCCACAAGACATGGCAAGTCCACGGTGAGGAGAAACAGAGAGTTTTTAAACGTTTTAGAGCTGACTGAGAAACGCAATGTTATTGATGATTATTTCCTCCCCCCCACCCCATTTCACTTTAGGTACGATCCAGACAGTGGTCATGACAGCGGTGCAGAGGACGCCCAGGACTGCCCTCCTCCATTCTGTTTCCTCACAATGGGCATGGGCAAGATTTTACTACCCAAGTCAGCTAACACTTCTACCGGCCCACTCACTGCCCCCCTGCCACCTCGCCTCGGACTGTGTCTGGACTTTGAGAAGGGGCGGCTCACTTTCTACGACGCACACTCTCTGCGAGTGCTGTGGGAGGGGACTGTCGATTGCTCCGCCCCTGTGTGCCCAGCCTTTTGTTTCATTGGCGGAGGGGCTCTGCAGCTACAGGAGCTAATAGCTAATCGCAGTGCAGAGCAGAACCCGCCAAGGAGAGTGACCATCCAAACACGTGCCACCGATGCCGGTCACTGAAATCTGATCGCTTTAAAACTAGTCAAATCAGCACCTTTAGGCAAATATTCTTTTATCGTTTTCTATCGACTTTGTTTACGAGCTTATTTCATAGCTAATGATGTATTGACTGATGATATTTTATATTAAGATTCAATTTAATTTCAAAGTATACACATTAAAAAAAGGTTATGGATGCTAACAACATGTAGCATGCTAACAACATGTGGGTCAGCATTAAATAATGAGGAATCGTTCATTTTTATGGCTACAAAATAAAAAGCAATGGAAATATAGTCCATGTATGATTCAGGTTCACTCGTGACAGACAAAAGGTTCTTACAAAAACAAATGATTCCCCGCTATTTACAAACTCCTTTTCCCTGCATTGTTAGCATGCAAACCACCCAAAATGGGTGTGCTAATAGTTAGTATTACACCCTGATTTATTCATTAACAATGTATGTGCTCTTTACAGGAATGTTAAAACGTCTTGACGTGATCATGTTGCAGTTCTAATCCATTTGAGACTGTCATGTTTCTAAGTAGTTCCCGATGTATTTGAATTGTGTTGCTACTTTGAGGCTCAGCTAAGATGTCAAACCTTGGTTGGACATGTTGTCTTGGTATCAGTCCACGTTCTGTGCATAGAGACCTTGTCTGTTTGGTTGTTTGGGCCAAAACAGGGTTGACAGTTGAAGTGAAATGAAAAGAACCTGCTTTTGTGAGATTCCTACAGGTGCCTGCTCAAATGTTATACAACCGACTCCCATTTGAATGTCCTAAATACCGGTAATAATATCCAAAACACAACTGTCTTGACACATCTCATACTTTTTTAGGCTTTTTTCATAATCATTTATTCATTCAAAATTTTTTTTTTTGCAGAATGGGTATGGCAACAACAATTTAGCGGGTAAAGTAAACTTTTCAGAAGTGAATGCTGCTTATGACCGTGCAACTGTCAGATGTGAGTGGGCATTTTTGAATTGTATGGTGAACGTCAAATGTATTTATTGCGCGTGTGTGTGAGTGTGTGATATTGCAATAAAGAAAGACAGTTGCTGAAAGCTTGGGTTTTGGCCATATTTTCTGCTACTTAAGTGCATTGTTGCAGATTCAGGTCTCGTTGTGTGAATTTATATTGTTGTTGATATTATGTAGCATTTCTTAAAATGGCCCTTTGAAAACAGGCAAAAAGTTTGTAAAATACACTAATGGCAGAAGTGAAATAAAGCATCAATGTTTCTCACAGAACACATTTTTGCATTCCATGTGCTGCTATTCCATTGTCTTTTTATGTAAACGAGCTAGATGGACGTGTTTGACTTTTGCGCTTGCATATGACACAGAGTTAAGCAATCACGTTAGGATTTTAAAAAACACGTCTTCAGGTCTTGCCTTTTCCCCATTCCACGGCCCTGCGTCTCATGTATATAGTTGAAAGTAAAAACCTTAACCTATTTTTTTTTGATGAGTTAAAGCAATGTCAAAACATATGTTGTTATAACTTATTGATAAAAAAAAAAAAGTTTTTCCTCACCTAAGACTGTGAACTTTAAATCTATTGCACACAAAACTGACAAAGATTTCAAATTATACTCAGATATTCAGTCATACTCGGGTCAGGTCAAGTCAGTTGTGTGCTGGATATCTGGGCAATTGTAAACTGTAAAACAAATGAAATAGTGGTAAAATCACTGATTGTGATAAAACCACATTTCTGTAGTTTCTCATTTATTACATGTTCTTTCATATGATGTGAATTTTTGACACTCAGAAAGTCCTACATATAGTGGCTGTTGTCAATTAAAGTGAAAGTAAAAGAATGCTTCTTAAACAAAACAAAAAAGCTGCTTGTTAGTCCAGTTTTTGTTTAATCCACAGGTGATCTAAAGTTACATGTCCAACCCACCCATTTCAATGTTTATTTTAATGCACTACAGTAGTGGAAACTTACATGTTAGAGTGCTACCAGTGTGAGAACATAAAACAGCATACAACAAAATTATATGTTTATTTATATATGAATGTTGCAGTCCTCAAACATTACCTTGGCATCAAAATACATCTGAATAAAAAAACATGGCATTATATATATATATATATATATGAAGAGTTCAGATGCAAAAGCCTCTAAGTGCCATTTGAAATTTTCTTCAAAAATTATCATTTTTATCAAGCTTGTATATTTAAGTTCAGTAATTTCACTTAAATGGCAATGAAGATTGCCTATTAATTGTCATTTAAGTGAAATTACTGAACTTAAATACACAAGCTTGATAAAAATGGTAATTCTAGAACAAAATTTCAAATGGCACTTAGAGGCTTTTGCATCTGAACTCTTCATATATATATATATATATATATTAGGGCTGTGCAAAGATTAATTGTGATTAATCGCATCCAAAATAAATGTGTGTGTGCTGTGTATAATTATATATATATATATATATACACACACACACATGCATGTATATATTTAAGAAAATGTGTTATTCATATAGAAAATATTTATATTTAAATATAATATAGATTCTGTATTTATATATACTGTATACAGTATTTATGTGCAAATAATGCTTACACATGCATGCATATGTATTTATATATACAAAATAATTATACACACACACACACACACACACACACACACACACACACACACACACACACACACACACACACACACACACACACACACACACACACACACACACACATACACGTCTATATTACTAAAAGGGGACTATCACTCTACACTGGCCAAGAGGGGACTAGTGTTTCTGGTCATTTTGAAGAAACAAAAATGACGTACAAAATTCTCTTTTAAGGTCTTTTTTCATAATATAACTTTAAATATGCATTTTTTTTTTTAAAAAAACATGCCAAGTGGGGACCTGAAACTCTGGCCGATGTCTACCTTACCAACAGGGGACTCATATAGCCTGCAATTGAACTGTGTGTCTGTGTGAACAGTGAAGTGAACTGGCAGTGAAATCTTGTCTTCATATTGTAACTTATACATACTTATACACATATATGTGTGTGTGTGTGGGTGTGTCATTATATAATGCTCAAACATATACATGTCTATATTGCTACACAGCAGTGTCGCTGTACACTGGCGAAGAGGGGACATTCTGAATGATATCTATCCAACCAAGTGGGGACTTTGTGTGTGTGTGTGAACTGGCAGTGAAATCTTTCTTAATTCCGCTTACATTATATATCTATTATATACATTATATATATATATATATATATATATATATAATATATTCACATAGAAAAACGCTGTTTTAAATTGTAATAATATTTCACAATATTACTGTTTTTTTTTTTTTTTATAATTGCAGCCATGGTGAGCAGAAGAGACTTCTTTTAAAAACATAAACAATCTTACCGATCTAAAACTATATTTCTATACTACTAACAGCAGTGTCGCTGTACACTGGCAAAGAGGGGACATTCTGAACGATATCTATCCAACCAAGCGGGGACTTTGTGTGTGTGTGTGAACTGGCAGTGAAATCTTTCTTAATTACGCTTACATTATATATCTATTATATACATTATATATATATATATATATATATATATATATATATAAAATATTCACATAGAAAAACGCTGTTTTAAATTGTAATAATATTTCACAATATTACTGTTTTTTTAATCAAATAATTGCAGCCTTCGTGAGCAGAAGAGACTTCTTTTAAAAACATAAACAATCTTACCGATCTAAAACTATATATTTCTATACTACTAACAGCAGTGTCGCTGTACACTGGCAAAGAGGGGACATTCTGAATGATATCTATCCAACCAAGTGGGGACTTTGTGTGTGTGTGTGAACTGGCAGTGAAATCTTTCTTAATTACGCTTACATTATATATCTATTATATACATTATATATATATATATATATATATATATATATATATGAAGAGTTCAGATGCAAAAGCCTCTAAGTGCCGTTGGAAATATTCTTCAAAAATGATCATTTTTTATCAAGCTTATATATTCAAGTTCAGTAATTTCACTTAAATTACAATTAATAGGTAATCCTCATTGTTATTTAAGTGAAAGTACTGAATTTAAATATACAAGCTTGAAAAAAATGATCATTCTAGAAGAAAATTTCAAATGGCACTTAGAGGCTTTTGCATCTGAACTCTTCATATATATATATATATATATATATATATATATATATATATTCACATAGAAAAACGCTGTTTTAAATTGTAATAATATTTCACAATATTTCTGTTTTTTTTTTTATCAAATAATTGCAGCCTTGGTGAGCAGAAGAGACTTCTTAAAAAACATAAACAATCTTACCGATCTAAAACTATATATTTCTATACTACTAACAGCAGTGTCGCTGTACACTGGCGAAGAGGGGACATTCTGAACGATATCTATCCAACCAAGTGGGGACTTTGTGTGTGTGTGTGAACTGGCAGTGAAATCTTTCTTAATTACGCTTACATTATATATCTATTATATACATTATATATATATATATATATATATATATATATATATATATATATATATATATATATATTCACATAGAAAAACACTGTTTTAAATTGTAATAATATTTCACAATATTTCTGTTTTTTTTTATCAAATAATTGCAGCCTTGGTGAGCAGAAGAGACTTCTTTTAAAAACATAAACAATCTTACCGATCTAAAACTATATATTTCTATACTACTAACAGCAGTGTCGCTGTACACTGGCAAAGAGGGGACATTCTGAATGATATCTATCCAACCAAGTGGGGACTTTGTGTGTGTGTGTGTGAACTGGCAGTGAAATCTTTCTTAATTACGCTTACATTATATATCTATTATATACATTATATATATATATATATATATATATATATATGAAGAGTTCAGATGCAAAAGCCTCTAAGTGCCGTTGGAAATATTCTTCAAAAATGATCATTTTTTATCAAGCTTATATATTCAAGTTCAGTAATTTCACTTAAATTACAATTAATAGGTAATCCTCATTGTTATTTAAGTGAAAGTACTGAATTTAAATACACTGAAAAAAATGATTCTGAGTGCATGTAAATGTTACGTAGTTAAAATGTGTAATATTAACAATACAATGTTACGTTTATATCTTTACATAATATATCTGGTTTTGAATTTATCTTCATTTGTTCAAAACACAAGACAATGTGCATATTTTTACCTTACAAAATTAATCTAAGTAATCTCAGCCAATCTTTTTAGGCACATGCACTCAACAAACAATACCTTGTTTAATTTACTCAGTGCAAAAAATTACTCCCCTTCCTGTTTTTTGGTCTGGAAACTCCTTGCATTTCAAACGAAGAGGAAGCCTACACGTGGAGACTGAACTCAAGGTAAGAATAAAGTTAGAAAAGTAGGCTAACAATTAAGGTTACTTGGGTTTGTACATTCTTTACAGTGTTCCAATTGTTGTACAAAAATTAGGCTTTAAATGTAATTTGAAGATTGCTTTGTCGTACGTGGATTTTCTGTTAATTACCATGTGGCAACGCTGGGATTGCTTTATGTTGCTTTACGTGTAGTCTAACATTAATTGAAACTTTGCAAGTGGCCATAGAATGGTTTGTTCTAGTGTAATTTAAAGCCAGCGTTATAATCCAGCAATAAAATAATGTAATGTTAGTGCAAGCACGTGGATTTTTAGAGCAGCCATGAATAAATTAGGGTAACATCAATCGTTTTTTTCCCCCAACCTGGGCCTAATTTTATTCTTTAAAAAAATATGTATTTGTGTTTAAGTGACTGATGGGAACAACAATCTTTTAAATTGGCCAGGCTTAGACCGCTTCAGTGTGTAGATGCGAAAGAATTAACGTTAGGCCTAGGCAAATCGTACGTTAATATGGGTAATTGCGTTCTTTTACATCCACAAAACCTGCTTGTTTTGCCACTGACATGCTATTCTAATTGTCTGACGACATTACCTAAGATCGCGGACAGCTCCAGCGTTAAAATTAACTCGTTAAATCATTTTACTTGATCTAAAAACTGACTATCATATTAGAAAGATTTAAGATTCCAGCTTGGATATTTGGCCACTATTTATGACAAAACTGAGTTGCAATGACTTTCTGTCTTTCTTTCTTTTTTTTTCTTTTGTCAAATAGTGCAGATAATTTATTTGTGTTCACATAGATGGAATTGACAGCATCCGCGAATAACTCCAGTCCAAACGTGGGCGCATTTTTAGAAATATTGATTTAGTTTGCGCGCTCTGTTTTTCTTCATGGTTGTGTAAAAGGTGTTTTTTATACTTTATGGTTAGAGCGCTCATTGGGGTTTTTCAGCCGTCAATCATCTCGTGAACATAGTCCCGCCTTCAGAATGACGCGGTTCGCTGCACGCTTCCTCATCGGAGCTCCGAGGGAAAACAAACCCAAAGTAGGCTAACAATTAAACCGAAACTGAAGAAAATTTGCTTACTGATGAGCAGGTCAACTAATTGCAGTGTTGTGGAGAGAGTAAAATGTTAAATTATTTTTAATTAGGCTATAGTTGTAGTTACAATTTTTTGCCATGTTTTTGGTTACTTGCATTGGTCAGTTAACTATAACACTGTGTCCTTACCAGGTGATCCTCCTGACAAGTAGGCTACACTGGATAAAGGTTTGTAAATTTCTCTAAATTGGTTTATTGTAGTGAGAAAACTGGGGGTATAGTTATAATGTCAAATGGCAAAATTCCTGTTGTCCTGTTTATATAGAAAGTTTTAGTGTTCTTCAATACAGTACATGTGACACACTTACTCATGACCAGTGATGCTGGCATTTCGACACACAAAAAAAAAGACAAAAATAGTAATGCTCAGTAACTTGGATAAGTAACTGAAATCTGAACACTTTTGTCAGTCACAAGCAATAATGCGCTACTATTTCCAAAAACGTAATCAGATTAAATTTACTTATCCAAGTTACTGTGCGTTACTATTTTTGTCCTTTTCTTTAGTAGAAATGATGGCTGGTATTCGATATGAAACCGAAATTGCGACACTCCCTGTGTCACTGTGTGAGAAGGCAGAATCACAACACACCACTTCCAACTATCAGAGTTATCCTTCCCGTCCAGATCCAATGCTACCACATTTTTAAATTACTATTAGTATTCTTTGAAGTTAACATTATAAAATACATAGACCTACACCACACTGCACATTCTTCGAGCACATGCTTGCACAAATGTACATAAGTATATAGAACAAAACTACCACAGCACGTAATCCCACCAAGATTTCTGTTTAGACCAAAGAGCTGTATGCATTCTTCACATTAGCAAACAAAAAGTAGGTTAAATTCTCTCTTGTATATTTCACAGTTTTGTGATGACGACGATTCTGCAGCCATCCAAGAGGAAATCACTTCATTTGTACTCAACATGTTCGTGGTCACCAAAACCAGGGATGGAGGTCTCGAGAAGCAAGCTGGAATAGCCATCAAGGGAGAAGAGGTCCTTTTTGGAATTCCCAGTGTAGCACATGCTTGCACCTATACCTTATGGGCATTATTTATCCAAATAAACTAAAATACACCTTTGGAGGAAGTTAACAAAAACATGCCCTCCAAAATCCAGCTTATGGCCTAAAAGTATGACAGACGTTGTTGTTTATAACTCTGTTTGGACTTTTTGGGACTTTGGCTTATTCACCATATCCCCCTAGAGTTAAATAAGTCCACACATACCCTTCTCATCTCTGTGCGTGCCGTAACAGTCAGACGCACCCACTGTTAGCCTAGCTTAGCACAAAGACTGGAGGTAAACAGATCCAGCTAGCATACTAATCTTAATAAATGACAAAATAACACCAACATTTCCTATTTACATGTTGTGTTTTTATAGTCACTGTGTGTACAAATAACAAGGTCATATGAGACACAGCCATCTTCAAAACCGTATACATACAGGGAACTATATTCTCAGAAGGTGAATCACTTCTACTTGGTCAGAGTGATTAGCGCAACACTCTGAGCGAACTCTCTGCTCCTCACCACGGGGCTTCTCAGGTGCTGTGAGAAAATCACTGCATAGAAGAAGTGCTTCACCTTCTGAGAATATAGTATCCAGTGTGTATACGGTTAGAAGATGGCTGTGTCTCATGTGACTTTGTTATTTGAACACTCTGTGACTATACAAATCACAACATTTAAATAGGAAAATGTTGGTGTTATTTTGACACTTATTAGGATTAGTATGCTAGCGGGACTGCTGACTTACTGACTTAGTTTACTTAGGTAAACTGCTATTTACCACCAGTCTTTGTGCTAAGCTAGGCTAGCAGTGGGTGGGTCAGACAGAGTTACGGCACACACGTAGATGAGAAAGGTATGTATGGACTTATCTGACTCTGGGGGATATGGTGAATAAGCTTAAGTCCCAAAAAGTCAGAGTGTTCCTTTAAAGTCTTAGAATATGTAAATACTCTGTAAATGTTTATTTTTATTGAAAAGTCCTTACTGAGAGTGTTGAAATATAGTTAAACATCTGGTTGGTTGGTTGAGACTGATGTAGTACGTTTAAAGGGATAGTTCACCCAAAAATGAAAATGAAGTCATTAATTACTCACCCCCATGCTGTACCAACCCCGTAAGACCTTCGTTCATCTTCGGAACACAAATGAAGATATTTTTGATTAAATTTGAGAGGTGGATCACTGCTACATAGGCTGCCTAAGACATTGAAACTTGACGGCCCAGAAAATCAATTAAGAAAATGTTTAAATATTCCATGTGACTACAGTGGCTCAAGTATAAGTTTATATAGATTTGAAGATCACAGTTCTCGCGCATGCGTCGTGGAAATCTCTTGAACTCTCGTCTTTTTTCGCACAAAAAGTAGTCTCGTCGCTTGATAAACTTATAGTTGAGCCACTGTAGTCACATGGAATATTTAAACATTTTTTTCATTGACTTTCTGGGCCGTCAAGTTTCAATGTCTTAGGCAGCCTATGTAGCAGTGATCAACCTCTCAAATTTAATCAAAAATATCTTCATTTGTGTTCCGAAGATGAACGAAGGTCTTACGGGGTTGGTACAGCTTGGGGGTGAGTAATTAATGACTTCATTTTCATTTTTTGGGTGAACTAACCCTTGGTCACAGCATGCATATCTTGAAGTATTGAAGGGGAATTTTGTTACCATATTCCTGAAGACAATAAAGCCTGTCAACTTCCACTTAATGTTCCACGTCCATTCCTTTAGCACCACCATAAAGCACAATTTTCTATTGTACACAATGTTTCAACCTGTGAGGTGAATATATTTTATTATACTTTTAAATTTTGTATACTGACCTTGTCAGTTTTTACTATCAAATGGCGAAAATGTCAACTTATATTTGATTAGCACATTCCACGGGGATAGTACCAGTTTTGAAATAGTAGTAGTAAAAAATAACTCTTTGCATTTATACTTTCAGTAAAAAACTAAGTTTTTAATAATGAGTAAATGTAACTTTAAAATACACTAACATTAAAAAAAAAAAAAAAAAAATAGAACCCACTTGAAATTTGTAATATGGAAATGTAAAAAGCTTGTTGGATTCAATCAAAATTACTCATTCAGAACTCTTAAAGTTATGTAGATCACACACATAAATAAATTACTACAGCAATGCTAAAATTAAGTTAACTTTATGTGAAAATTCTATTTCAACAAACAGAAAAATTAAGTAGTTTCAACAAAGACTTGTCTTGTTGGATCTACGTAATAAAGTTATGCAAAAAAATTCATTATATTTTTTAAGTAAATCAAGCAGATTATTTTTATCAGTGTATACAAGCTTGAAAAAAATGATCATTCTAGAAGAAAATTTCAAATGGCACTTAGAGGCTTTTGCATCTGAACTCTCATATATATATATATATATATATAATATATATAATATATATATATATATATATATATATATATATATCACATGAAAAACGCTGTTTTAAATTGTAATAATATTTCACAAATATTACTGGTTTTTTATCAAATAATTGCAGCCTTGGTGAGCAGAAGAGACTTCTTAAAAAACATAAACAATCTTACCGATCTAAAACTATATATTTCTATACTACTAACAGCAGTGTCGCTGTACACTGGCGAAGAGGGGACATTCTGAACGATATCTATCCAACCAAGTGGGGACTTTGTGTGTGTGTGTGAACTGGCAGTGAAATCTTTCTTAATTACGCTTACATTATATATCTATTATATACATTATATATATATATATATATATATATATATATATATATATATACACACTCACCGGCCACTTTATTAGGTACACCTGTCCAACTGCTCGTTAACACTTAATTTCTAAGCAGCCAATCACATGGCGGCAGCTCAGTGCATTTAGGCATGTAGACATGGTCAAGACAATCTCCTGCAGTTCAAACCGAGCATCAGTATGGGGAAGAAAGGTGATTTGAGTGACTTTGAACGTGGCATGATTCTTGGTGCCAGAAGGGCTGGTCTGAGTATTTCAGAAACTGCTAATCTACTGGGATTTTCACACACAACCATCTCTAGGGTTTACAGAGAATGGTCCGAAAAAGAAAAAACATCCAGTGAGCGGCAGTTCTGTGGGCGGAAATGCCTTGTTGATGCCAGAGGTCAGAGGAGAATGGCCAGACTGGTTCGAGCTGATAGAAGGGCAACAGTGACTCAAATAACCTCCCGTTACAACCAAGGTGGGCAGAAGAGCATCTCTGAACGCACAGTACGTCGAACTTTGAGGCAGATGGGCTACAGCAGCAGAAGACCACACCAGGTGCCACTCCTTTCAGCTAAGAACAGGAAACTGAGGCTACAATTTGCACAAGCTCATCGAAATTGGACAATAGAAGATTGGAAAAACGTTGCCTGGTCTGATGAGTCTCGATTTCTGCTGCGACATTCGGATAGTAGGGTCAGAATTTGGCGTCTACAACATGAAAGCATGGATCCATCCTGCCTTTTATCAACGGTTCAGGCTGGTGGTGGTGGTGTCATGGTGTGGGGAATATTTTCTTGGCACTCTTTGGGCCCCTTGGTACCAATTGAGCATCGTTGCCACGCCACAGCCTACCTGAGTATTGTTGCTGACCATGTCCATCCCTTTATGACCACAATGTACCCAACTTCTGATGGCTACTTTCAGCAGGATAATGCGCCATGTCATAAAGCTGGAATCATCTCAGACTGGTTTCTTGAACATGACAATGAGTTCGCTGTACTCAAATGGCCTCCACAGTCACCAGATCTCAATCCAATAGAGCATCTTTGGGATGTGGTGGAACGGGAGATTCGCATCATGGATGTGCAGCCGACAAATCTGCGGCAACTGTGTGACGCCATCATGTCAATATGGACCAAACTCCCTGAGGAATGCTTCCAGCACCTTGTTGAATCTATGCCACGAAGAATTGAGGCAGTTCTGAAGGCAAAAGGGGGTCCAACCCGTTACTAACATGGGGTACCTAATAAAGTGGCCGGTGAGTGTATATATATATATATATTCACATAGAAAAACACTGTTTTAAATTGTAATAATATTTCACAATATTTCTGTTTTTTTTTTATCAAATAATTGCAGCCTTGGTGAGCAGAAGAGACTTCTTTTAAAAACATAAACAATCTTACCGATCTAAAACTATATATTTCTATACTACTAACAGCAGTGTCGCTGTACACTGGCAAAGAGGGGACATTCTGAATGATATCTATCCAACCAAGTGGGGACTTTGTGTGTGTGTGTGAACTGGCAGTGAAATCTTTCTTAATTACGCTTACATTATATATCTATTATATATATATATATATATATATATATATAGATATATATATTTATATATATACTGTGTATAATATATTCACATAGAAAAACGCTGTTTTAAATTGTAATAATATTTCACAATATTACTGTGTTTTTAAAAAAAAAAATAATTGCAGCCTTGGTGAGCAGAAGAGACTTCTTAAAAAACATAAACAATCTTACCGATCTAAAACTATATATTTCTATACTACTAACAGCAGTGTCGCTGTACACTGGCAAAGAGGGGACATTCTGAATGATATCTATCCAACCAAGTGGGGACTTTGTGTGTGTGTGTGAACTGGCAGTGAAATCTTTCTTAATTACGCTTACATTATATATCTATTATATACATTATATATATATATATATATATATATATATATATATATATATATATATATATATATATGAAGAGTTCAGATGCAAAAGCCTCTAAGTGCCGTTGGAAATATTCTTCAAAAATGATCATTTTTTATCAAGCTTATATATTCAAGTTCAGTAATTTCACTTAAATTACAATTCATAGGTAATCCTCATTGTTATTTAAGTGAAAGTACTGAATTTAAATATACAAGCTTGAAAAAAAAGATCATTCTAGAAGAAAATTTCAAATGGCACTTAGAGGCTTTTGCATCTGAACTCTTCATATATATATATATATATATATATATATATATATATATAATATATTCACATAGAAAAACGCTGTTTTAAATTGTAATAATATTTCACAATATTACTGGTTTTTTTATCAAATAATTGCAGCCATGGTGAGCAGAAGAGACTTCTTAAAAAACATAAACAATCTTACCGATCTAAAACTATATATTTCTATACCAATAACAGCAGTGTCGCTGTACACTGGCG